GGAGGACTGCGCCTCGTACATGGAACGCATGTGGGATGACGGACCTGACACTGAGTGCTCCGCATCGGACAAGACAGCCATCGCATCCTGTGTAGAGGTGAGAACGCCGCAACTGAATTTTGTCGCCCGCGCTGACCATCCGCTCACTCCCTAAGAGGTGAAATCCGAAATTGGGGGGCAGTGGTTGACAACTTTTATCGCCTTGAAAATTCCCAGTCTGCGGATTGGGGCATTTTAGAAAGCGACAGACGTCCAGCAAATTGTAGTTGCCAAATTGATGTGATGTCTATGAATGAAGGTTTACCACAACTAGCCATTTAGGTGAGACAATGTTGCATCGAACATTGTTGATGTGACAGTGCCTGAACACTTTAACAGAAATCTACAAAGAAGGTCGCCTAAAACTGAATACATAGCTATCTATGTGGCGTCCAGAGTTGTTATTTGCGTTTGCGCACCATTCTTACGTTCACGGTGTTATGCACAAGCACGCGTAAATAGAGAGATGGACATTTTCGCGGCTATGTTTACGCATTTTTGCGGATCAACTACACACCCAACTTACATGATTATGTCTCAAACAATGATCCGTCCTCGAGCACCCACAGCACAGAGTCTACCTCGATTTCGGCAAGTGCTAAATTTGCTGTCGAGCAAAATATCGTTTTATGCCCACTCCAGCTCGTCTGGATGCCGCTCGCCGGCCTCGCTGAGTCTGCAAATACTGTCTTTATGCTTGTTCTGCATGGCAGCTGCATATTTTTACCCACTTTTACGGTTTCCACGCCTAAAACCAAAAAGCCATTTTTGCGTGTAATATGCGTAAATATAAAATGTATACGCCGCAAACAACAAGCCTGGTGACTTCCATGTGCCTATTGGGGTGCAAGACGCGCTTGCGCAAATACCAAGGAGAGGCAGCCACGTCACAGCACCCCAAAGGCGCACCCCGACGGATCCCAGGATGCACACTGTTGCAGACATTTGTGAATTCTGTGTGCTTGTGTAATGCTGCCGAAAGCAGCTACAAAATAGGAGCAATACACCAAAATGGTAACACGGTGTCATGGAGCGGCCCCGTACGGCGGAAAGGTGCGGCCATGTTGTCCATATTGTAAATTGCAGAATCTTAGATGCATGCTGCCGCATCATGCGTTGCGCGATTGGTGGCGAAGATGAGCGTGGGATTTGCCAATGCAGGATCAAATCGAAGCATGGGATGCACTTGAGAGTGGAGGATGCATTGATTTTATCGAAAACGTAAGTGAAGTGACCTGGCCTGCAGACTGGTCCGTCATGGCAAGACATTATATTCCATTACGGGGGAGAATGTATGATGAGCATTGCTTCATATTCACTCATTTTTGCTTCTGAACTAGTATTTCAAAGAAAGATTTATTGCTATCTGCCCTTCTATGCTTTGCATACTTTGCTCTCTCCACTGGGTTTGCAAGCTTATTTTCCAGGACTAGCCCTAATATTGGCCCTCTCAGCGTTGGATTAGCAAGATGGCGGCAGTGCCTCAGTAGACCACACAAGCAAGCACTGTTGTCACCACCTCGCACATATTATCCACAGCTGCATTAGAGCACATCATCGCTTCCTGATTTATCCACATGAACGCCTTCATCGCGAGCTGGCGCAGAAGACGGATTGTCCATGAAGGAAGCGCACCGGAAAGGAAGAATTCGCCCGGCACAAGTGTTGCAGCGGAAAAGATGCATACCGTTTAAATCGACACACAAGCGTTCAAATATTAGACGCGCAGGAGCGCGTGCACTCCCTCTAATTCTTCGCCCGTTCTTCAGGACAACTGCGACGCTTGGGGGGCAGAGGCCGACTCCCCTGCCATGGCTCCCGAAGAGGCCCCACCCGTGGGCCCAAATAGGCTGCTGTTGGCATCGCCCTCGCGAGCAGCGAGAAGCCTGCTGGCCGACGGCGACTCATGCCGCCAGCTGCTCATTTCAGGAGGCACCAACGCCTTCCTGCAGACGACGAATGAGCCAACTTCACCCACAGAGCCCACGGGCCCCACGGAGCCCACACCGCCAGGAGAGCCTGGTGGACCCACTCCGCCTGAGGGTGGTGACCCAGTTGATCTGGTCTCGACACCCACGCCCCCGAGCCCAAGCGCTGGCGCCCTGACCGCCGGATCCATCATGGCGGCGGCAGCCGTGGCTGCGCTGGCGCTTGTGGCGGCTTGAGACTTCCTGCCATGGGCACTAACCTAGATCGACATTGCGGAGGCGGGTTTTAGTCGGATGTGCATGTGCACCGCGGAGATGCGGTTTGGAGGGCGGTTCCTCTTCGTGCTGGGGGATGAACTTCCTTCTCGTCATAAGAGGAGAGGGAAGTGGGTATTGGTGGTTCACCTTTGATCTGCGAAGGGGAGGGAGAGGGAGCCCCTCTCGAGGGACCAAGAAATGAAAAGGGGCGTCCTGGCGAAGTACTTCGCCACTAGTGGGACCGAAGTAGAAATCGAAGGCGGCAACAGGGGTGGGGTGTGTGGAAGAGACCGGCTGTTACAAGCTGTGGCTTCCTGGGGCTTGGAAGAACGTCATGAGAGACCGCACACGAGCTCGTACGAGGATCAACTTGATGGGGGAAATGGCTGAAGGCCGCAGAATACCAACCAAGTAGTTGAAGGAGTCGTCATGACGCGCCTTTGAAACAAAATTTCCTTGCGATGAAGCCGGTGGTGCGGGACTGACGGGCTGTCCTCTCAAAAACTGTTCTGAAGTTGCTAAACAGAATGTCATGCCTGTTATTTATACTGCGGGAACATTTTGCGTGAATCATGCATGCGCAAATGAGGCAAGCAGCGATCCAATCGCCAGCGAGGAACTCTATGAGCTGATTGCGTCAGTAACGATGCACTCAATACAGGACGCTCCAAACAGACACAAATTTTATTTTCATGGTAGCGTCCTCCAATGAGCAAAGTATTTGCAGTTTGGGTAAATATCCATGAGTGGGAGAAGGCGGCAACAAATTTGATTGGCATAATTCAAAACTTTCAATCATTTCTGCTGTTTGAAATGTGCAGTTCACACGTGTGGGCCCTCCAAATTATCTGCCAATCAATCTGCAATTGTTGAGCCTCTTCCTTGTGAGATTAATTTTCAGGACTAGTCAATTGCTCTTAAGGATGGCAGAAGCGTCTCCAAGGAAAAGAAGTGGTGTACAAACTGCCCAGAAACTTCAGAAACGCCGGTTCACTGCAGGCTGCTTTGAATTTTAAAATGACCACGATTTCCTTTATGAAACGCAATATTTTTCACAGATTGCGGCGATGCGGAGATAGCACATCGCATTCGGTGCATAAAATTATCCCAGCATCGCTGGGACAACAATAACGCCATGTGTACTTCCAGATGAGTGTGAAATTGCATTTTGGACGAAATGAGGTGCAATATACTCATGCTGGCGCAGAGGTTACTACTTAGGATTCAATCGCGAGCATTCGACAGACCTGAAGTAAAACCTGAACTGAAATTTTGCGTTTCAAAGGCATGTACATCCCTTAGAAACATGTCAACGTGCCCATCACCCAAGGAATCGATTTCGTTTCCAGACACAGCTTTCCTTACGAGGGAGACACGGCTGCAGACTCAGTCGATTTCTGCATTGTATGAGCCTTACGAGAGGGGTATACTCCCGTATACATACTGTATAGCAGAAAGTACGACACACTGAAACCGCCTTTGAATGCGGGATACCAGCAGCAAGGACAGCCTCACATTCTGCTGCCAGGAACAAACGCTGAAGCACAGCACAGCACAGCACGTGCGTTCGCGCACCATAAGGTCGCAACCATACAGGGCTGTGATCTATGTTGTACCTCAAGGTTGAGCGCTTTTAACCGTTGCTGGTAGCAGCGATCACGACCTATGGACCCCACATCTGGCGGCCAGCAGTACTTGCCGACAAAACATTGCAGGCCGAAACAGCAACGGCATGTCTTCGGACGCATCTACACATGTTTAATGCACGCAAATAATTGCACAACACAAGGTGATGCATCAAAACAGCGCTGGATGTAAAGAAATGGACGGAGCATTCGTGTGCAAGCCGGCCTGAGAATATCGGAATAGATTGATCTGGTGCTCCACAGAGACTGACTGCAATGTCGACCGAAATCGTTCACAGCGGAAAACTGTTTATATGTGCATGTACATCGACGAATCGTCGAGGACTGGCTCCAGAAGCTGGGCACGTTGGCAGTGCGATCTTGTTTGTGGATCCGCCGAAAAATTTCAAATCAACTGATGCGGTCTCCCTCTAATTGAAATCAGGCTAGCATGGGTGAAAGGAAGCAATGATGTGCATAAACTGACGCACAACCAAATGAGGACACAGCCAGTCCCATACCAAAATCCCCCATCAGTGCCCATCTTTCCCTGCTCTTTCCCTGAAGGGCACATGACAAACCCACGGACGCTGCTTTGCTCGGGCAAAATGGGAAGCAGATGGCCTCCTCCTCGCCTTGTTATGTAAACATTCGTGATGGTGACGATAATGACAAACCCATTCCAGTCAGGTACCCTCCGCAGGCCGGCGGACGATTCCAGAACGGCGTTACCCAAACATAGCGTTAGGGCGCCGGCCTCGCGTTATACCCAACGCCACGCAGGGCCAGGTCACATTACCAACAAAAACCCACGCCATCGCCACCACCATTCCACCGGCCCCCTCCGACCGCACCAGCGAGCGCGTGCCTGCCCACTCCAGCCCTGGAGGCCCCAAGCGCGGACACAGCTCTCCGATCCCTCCCTCGGCGAGCGATCTCCGTGTCCTCCGCATCATTCTCTCCGCCCGATCACCCCCGCACCGGCTCGCGGCATCCCCTACGTGCCCCTGGGCCGCCCAAGCCGCGAGGCTCGGGATCGGGGCCGGCTGCACGGTCTCCGACCACCGACGGGGGCTCGAGGAGGGGCGCCGCGAATCTCGCGTACACACCGCCGTGGCGGGAGGCCAAAGGCGGCGGCAGGGGCGGCAGGATGGCCGAGGTCGCGGGCCCAAGCCCCTTCCACCCCGGGGAGGCCGAGGTGCAGGAGGCCGTGAGCGGGCGGCACCACGGCGAGAGCATCGGGCGCCAGTTCATACGCCCGTACATGCCCGACCAGCACCGCGAGTTCTTCGCCTCGCAGAGGATAATGTACGCGGGGACGGTGGACAATGATGGCAGGCCGTGGGCGTCGGCGATCGTGGGGAAGCCGGGATTCGTGACAGCGCCCGACGACAAGCACTTGAGGATCAGCCCGATTCGGCCCTACGCCGGCGACAGGGGCAATTTCGGCGCGGGGGGCTTCATGGGCCTGCTGGGGCTGGACCTGTCCAACCGACGGCGCAACAGGGCCAACGGCGCGATCAGCGAGGCGCGCGAGGGCGGGATCCTGCTCAATGTGGACCAGAGCTTCGGCAACTGCCCGAAGTACATCACGGTCAGGCGGGTGGTGGTGGACGTGTCCGGGCTAGAGGCGATGGGGCAGGCCAAGGAGACTACGACGGGGACGGCGCTTGGCCCGGAACAGATGGCCATGATCAGAAAGGCGGACATCTTTTTCATCGCGAGCGCGTTCGGTGGTCCGGTGGGGCCAGGGTCTAGGTCCAGCTCGGTGGGCGCAGACGTGTCGCACCGGGGCGGACCCCCCGGCTTCGTGCGCGTCGTGGACGCCTCCACCCTCCGGTGGCCCGACTACGTCGGCAACGGCTTCTTCAACACGCTGGGCAACATCGCGGCAGACCCGCGGTGCGGGCTGCTGTTCGTGGACTACGCCACCGGCGACGCGCTGCAGGTCCGTTTCTCGAACGGCATCCCTCGTTTTTTCCGTGCTTTCTTCCTCCCCTTCGACCAAGGAACACAGTGTACACAGGTCCGCAGACAGCAACGCCGTCAAGAGAGAACTCCAATGTTTGTCCACATCCCCAACCCTGTCATCCATCCACATGCCCAGTCGACGCCTCGATCCTCCCCTTTGATATCTTGCGCTGGAGCTAGCCCGTTGCAGTTTGTGCGAACTGGCTAAGTGAGGACGTATGAGCCTTTGCACACTGCTGATGTGCGCCTGCCGGACACCGTCCGCGGTGGAAAGACGCAGCCTTGACCCTCAGAGGCGCAGCGATCAAACCGACGCCAAAACGGAGAGTTTGCGTGGCGCCTGCGAAGTCCAGATGGACCTGTGACGTGTGGAGGGGCTTGCGTCAGGACTTGCACACGTTTGCTCGCGCTGCAGGTCAGCGGCAGGGCGACGATCCTGTTTGAGGAGCGTGACTTGCCGGGGGCGCAGCGCACCGTGGAGTTTCGCGCGGAGGAGTTCAGCCACGTGCGGGGGGCGCTGCCGCTGACGGTGGAGGGCGAGGCGGAGCTGTCGCCGTACAACCCGAGCACGGCTGAGGAAGTGGGGAGCCAGATGGTGGAGTGTGTCAGCGTCAAGGTGGGCTGCAGTTTTGACGGGAAGTTGTCGACGCTGGATGTCCAGAAAGACAAAATAATGCATTGGAATAGTTGGCGGGTCATTCAAGGGATGAATTGGGGCAATAAGCGCTGGGTGTTGCGTGTGTCGGGCCGTCTCCTCAGCTCCAGAGAATGCAATATCTCACTCCGCAGAAACCTGCTGGAAAATGAACACATTCAGATGCACAGGGGGGTGAGACCTTTTCCCCCAGAAAAGCATCAGTTTCCTAATAATTTGCGCATACTAAACGATTGAGAGCGCTCCTGCTGTTTCATGTCTGGGCCCTGGACACGAGACAAAGTCAGCAGTCACTCGCTATCTTTTCAGACACTTTGGGACAATTCACCCATCCGCCATTGACCCAACCGCCATCTGAAAAGGAGCGTCGGTTCAGCTCCCAGCACAGTGCACTTGGCTCGGCCGATCCCAGAATTTCGATCATCCCCCGAACAGCAATATGTGAACACTGCGGTCTTTTCGCTCAAACTGCAGTCTTCTTAGCAGTCTGGCCTTGGAGTGCAGCGCACTGCGGCCACTGAAAAGACTACGTTTTTAACTACAAGACCACAACACCAATTTGCCGCCCAGCCCAACGCCAGTAAAGCGCCTTTCGGGCAACTAGACACATGCCCTTCCCTACACCGTCCACCTTCCGACGACTTTCGCCATGTGACGCTTCCAGGACGAGGCGCAGGGCGTCAAGACCTTCGAGTTCCGCCTGCCGGAGGGCGAGGGCGGCAAGCCCGCCTCCTACCTGCCCGGCCAGTTCGCCACCTTCGACCTGCGCATCCCGGACTCCAGCCCCAGGCCCGTCAACCGCACCTGGACCGTCTCCTCCAATCCCCGCGACTCAAGAGCCACGGGCACCTTCACGATCACCGTCAAGAAGATCGGCCTGGCGTCCTCGTGGCTGCACAACCGAATGGCCCCCGGGATGTCGATCGCATTCAAAGGCTTCGGCGGAGACTTCACGCCGTTGTCTTGCCAGGACTGTGACGTGCGTGCCGCGTCCGTGGTGCTGGTGGCTGGTGGGATCGGCATCACTCCGCTGCGCAGCATGCTGAAAGAGTTCGAGCGCGCCGGCACGGACGTCCACGTGTTGTACTCCACACGCACGTCTGCCGAGGCCGCCTTTTTGGACGAGATTTCAGAGACGGCGGAGAGGAGCGGGGGGAGGATACGGCTGACGGCCACCGTGACTGGGGATGACCCGGGGTGGGGGGGACTAAAGGGGCGCGTGGACGAGGCGTTTCTGAGCAGGCACATACCGGATCTGTGCGACCGGGAGGTGTACCTGTGCGGGCCGCAGGGTTTCATGAACTCCGTCACCGCGGCGCTGGAGCGCAAGGGCTGCGGCGCGGAGGCGGTGCTCACGGAGTCGTTCAATTTCTGAGGCGCGGCGTGAGTTCCCGTGGATTTCGATCGGGAGTTTGGCCGTGGAAGGCCTAGTGTTTGCGCCTGCGGGAGAAGACGGGTGCAGGAAGGTCTTGAGGGCGTCGCTATTGTGATGTTTTGTTTGTTTGTGTCTGTCGGTTGGCTCTCAGCGTTGGGCACAGCACGGAGGCCACGTGGAGCAAGCGCAGTTGTGGCGGTTGAATGCGACTGCGGGGGTGCCAATGGTGATCTTCCTGCATCCATACTTTGTGGATCTTCAACAGAGCAGACAATTTGACATAGCTCGATTTCTTTCCTCAGCTTTCATCCGTCGATTTGCCACATTGACGTTTGGCATCAGTGCCAAGAAACCTTGTGCATAGTTATGCGAATTCTTCGGTCAACTGGTGTCAATGAGCCACTGAGTCGATGGCCATGATGATCGCAAACTTCATAATTCAATCCTGGCGGTCCAGAACTTGGGCATTTGTGACAGATGGACGCCGGCCAAAGAAACAAGAGATGGTTTGAAGAGTTCATGGTGGCTGAACTAACACTAGTTGCAAGAAAACTTGTCACAAACTTGAAGGTCTGCCCTGTGAAG